AAAGAATAAAGAAATACAAACTTTTGATTTAGCTATAAAGTGTCACTCAGAAGCTAAATCAATAGCCATAGACTATGGATTCACAGAAGGCTTTGCTAATGAATTGTGAAATGTAATACCAATTTTTGCAGTTTTGCAACAGCTAATATTCTCTTATTTTTCCCATGTTTGAACAAAATCGGGTTTAACAGCCTTGAAGAATATCAAGGGATTTATGCATAGCATCACTCATACTGACTACTGTGAGAAGTAATGGTTATTCTAGTTTGGCTATCCTTTTTTTTTTTTTTTTTTTTTTTTTTTAATTTTTTGTATAGGGGGAGGGAGAGAGGTTTGTTTTCTGTTGTCAAGACTCTACAAATGTGTGAATCATGTTTGGCATTCCTTAAGATTGTCAAAATGAAGCAGATAAACATTTTCAAGTATTTTTTCCAATTCATGTTTTAAGAAAAAGGAGTCACTTCATTCATCCAGCTTGATGCATTGCAAGATACTTTACGAATCTAGGAATGCTTGATACCTAAATAACCTTCTTGCCTTCTAAGTAAACAAATACCCTCAAAAATGTTCTTGTATGCTGGATGCGTGGTCTGGAAAAGCTGAACAGTAATTCTTGTTCAGTCTTTGCATAATATTACTTTGAATATCTTGTCTAGAAAGGTAAATCAGTTGCATTGTTTTCAGGATGCAATTGTGTCTTGAGGTGGCTCTTAAATAGGAACTTGCAGTAAAATGGATTTTATAACTAACATTTTGATCTTGCTTTTTAAGAACAAAAACCAGCCAACTAGTCCACCCTCAGCTGGTAAATGGTGTTTTTTTTCAAAAACAAACAGAAAAAGTGATTAGCATCACAAATGTTCTGTTTTATGAGTGTGGTCCTGGGAATTAGAGCATAATCTTATTAGGGCCGTTCCTGACAACCTTGCAGTGAGCCACGTAGGTGAGATAGGTGACAGACATGATGATGGAGGAGAAGCAGCAGGAAGCCTTTTCTAGGAGGGTATCTTTTCACAGAACCTAAGTTCTGTACGTCCTGTGTTTTGTTTTGTGTTTCTTGTATCTTTCTATTTGGAAGCAAGGAGGGAGGAGGTGAGACATACAGGAAAACAATGCTTGCACAGAGGCAAATAGTGAGAGGAAGCCTGAAGGAAGCAAGTTCACAGAAGAGCTTGTTGAAGGCAGAGAAGGTTAGCTAGTGCGTATTAAAGGTGTCTATTACAGAATTGTATCTGTAGAATATTTAGAAAGACACTGGAGAGTTGTCTTCTACCACTTTGAGCTGCAAAATCTGATGTTAACCCACCTTTATCAAAACATGCCCTCTCTGACATGTAAACCAGGACCAGTTTTGTCTCTCCTGGCAGTAGTACATGGGTGAGGAAGAGCAGGAGTCTAGGAATAGAGCGATCACTGCAAGGCGCTGCTGACAGGTTCCCGGGTCCCCAGGCTCTGGAGTGTGAGCAGGTTCTGAGCGAGTTGGAACCACACCCAGGGTGGGAGGGAAGAGGGAGCTGACTGACCACAAAAGCTGGAAAACTCTCAGGTCATTCAAGGTGGAGCTGGATTTAAGACCTTACAGTGTGGATAGTGAATGGGTTTGAGTTTAAGGCCACACTTAGCTATTGGTGAGGATCTGCCTGAGGCTTTACAGACCCAGCTTTGAAGTGTGCAGGGGAGTGTGATAGTCTTGTTCTAGTCCGGTTTACCAAGCATTAGTGAGGTCAGATCAAATCTAGGTAAAATAGTTTAACCTGTCAAAAAGAGGAAAGGTGAATGTAACCCCTGTGGCATTTTCAGAAGGTTATTGTAAGTTCTTGTGTGTTTCTTTCATCTTAAATTAAGTTCACAGAAAATGGGTAGTGTCTTTTGGTTTCCCTTTATCCACAAAGTGAGTGAGGGGATGAACCTGGGGTGCTTTTTTGATACTCTTAACAATAATGTTAAAAACTTAAATTATCTTAGAAAGCTTGATAGCATAGTGGCAAACTTAACTTCTCCAGTCAGACTATAATTGTGATGGGAGGCAATGTAAAGGCATAAATGAAAAAGGTCAAAGTTGTAACGAGGAACATGTCTTATTTTTAGCATTTTATCCAAAGAATTGGGAGATTTTTTTTACTTAGGAAATCACTGTGCTGTAATTGGTATCAATGCGATGAATACCAGTCCTTTGAGTGACCAATTATTATGAAAGGGTATCAGGAAACTTGGATTTGTATCAGAGATTAGCTATGGCTGTATTCATAGAAAGGAAGTATATTGCAATCTTCAACAAACCAGCTGGATGCCTACTGGCAATTTAAAACAAAGAACTCTGATTCCATTGATGGTAATAGCAGTGGTCTCATTGGTTTCAGTAGAAACAGAAGAGTTTTACTTCTGATGTGAAATACAGAATCTATTATGTTTAAGAGTATTTTAAGTGCTTTTTTGTATTTGCTTCTCTCCGTCTCTTTTGTTGTTGTTGTTCTATAATTATTTTCAAAGGCCATCTTTGTATTTGCAGTAAAATGCTCTAGGTTGTCATCTTACATTTGGAAGCTGTGACATTTTGTGCTTAATGCAAAGCAAAATCTCAGGGATAGAAAAAGCTGAATAAGGCTTTCTTCATCAATGCAGCAGTCGCCAGCTAATAGCAATATGGTAAACCTTTCCTTTCCTGTTGGAAGCATCATTAACGAGCTTCGCTTGCAGCAAAATTATTAGTGGTGCTCAAAATGATATACAATGTTTTCAATGAGAAATGATGGTTTTAATTCCTTTCTTCATGGCTACCCTATATCCCTATTTCACTCAGTACGTGTGTATATATATATATATATTTTAATCCAAAGATACTGCCTGAATGGAATATGGAGAATATTGCCAAGATTTTGGTATGACCAGCAACCTGACTGAGATCATAGCTACGTAGGGCCGTCACTCACACTAACTGGATGGCTGGAAATTCCAGAAAAATGGCCATCGGATATGTGCAAGTGTTTGATCTGTGAAAATGATCAGTATATGCACAGTAAATTCATTCTACTTTAATTTATTGGACCCATAAAGATCAGGTGCATTAGTGGCATTTTTAGTAGGTCTAATGCATCCTGAGTTACCCTGTGCATCTGATTCATCAGCCTACAAATGAGAGGCTGAAGGGATTGGGCATATGGAACAGTGGGTATGAATTACACAAATCAAAAAACATTCCTGCAGCTTTCTTTCTGAGGCAGAGTGGTGTACTGCAGGCGTCCTGTTGGGAGTTTGGGATAGCCTGGAGAAGGGTGTGGTATCTAGGTCTTTCCAGTGGGTCCTCAAGCTTGGCTGGAGTCTCAGATCTGCATGATGTATGGAATTCATTGCATTGTAGGTTATGGGTTGTGAAAGCAATTAAAATGCTAGAAGTATCTGAAATAGGGAATAGTATTGATGCTATTGGGGATTCAGAAAATCATAAGCAGGGTTTAATTAGCATGTGCTGGGTTTCTGGCCACTCTGACAGGAGAGAAATAGAAATGAACTTCAGATATATTGTCTATATTGTATTACATACACACTAGTGTTCAGGCATATTGCTTCAGAGAGGTGATTTCCTAGTGATGCTGCCTGTTTTCATGTTTGCAAAACAGCTGTAGGAGATCCAGACCACGATGGGTCCCTTTCACCATCACTTGGAAGTGAGGTCTGTGAAGGTCCGTTCCCAGCCAAACCTTCTCTTCTGTAGGCATGACTCTAAGTACTGCAAAATGTGTCTGAAAAGGTCCATGTTGGAGTTTCTGATGGCAGACTTATGGCTTGATGCCTTATCTCTTTTTATTTTGTGTTGGGTTTTTTTTTAAAGTTTTTTCTTTTCCATATGATAAACCGGTGACCGACCTGACCGCATTTTTGTGCTTTATGCCATTGAGCAGCATATACCACTTTCTGAATTCCTGCTTTTGCTTGTATTAAACTTGTACCTAGAGACAGTGTGTGCCTGCAAAAACTTTCACTTAGTTGTTACCTGGGTTGCAGGGAACCTTCTGACAGCAGAGAATCCATTGCAATGCCACGCTGCTCCGCTGTTGAAACTAATGGTTTCCCTGTTTCGTGAAGCAGAAAATTTTGCTGATACCTGGTGTAGCTGTATTGTATATAATTAAATATTGAATACAAGCTGAATTTGATAGAAAAGAGAAGATTTTGTGTAGCTGCTGAAAAAAATTTTTGTTTTAGTACCACCTTAGCGACTTGTGGGTGCAGGGTTTAGCAGTCTCTTAAAGCAGGTTTAAGCCTGCTGTCTTAAAACTGATTATCTGGGACTTTAGTTGCCCATGTCTGATACTTTCAGTGGTTCACAAAAACTTATTTATCCAGTCCTGAAAAGGAATGCATGGCAGGGGCTCCCAAATATTGAGAATAGCTGAAGATACCAGCTGCCGTTAACTGATCTGATTAAATAAGGAGCTTGTCCTGCTCCTGTAAAACCAGATTCAGCTGAACACGCCATCAGTGAAGTGTTCACAGTGCATCCACTAAGTTCTTATAAATGCTCTGGACTTTGCTTTTGCTCTGTATTCTGTGACACTTAAAGGTTAATCCTTCATTGCATTTTGTCATCAGTTTTGCTGCGTTTTGTTGAAACCTGGAATGTGGCTGATCATTTATGGAAAAACAGAAAAAGCTAAACTGATTAGCTGTTGCAGGAAGCCACAGAAAATAAACCCTTGCATGTGTTTAGATGAAAAGAAAGAATACTTTAAATTAAATCTGCTCAACCAGCAATTGCAACTAATATGATAATGGACATGATTCATTATTAATACATTATCTGCTGATCCCTTAATTTCACCAATTCTGTAATTGTTTGGGGATTTGCAAATCAGATAGGACCTTTTGAATGTTGGGTTTTTTTTTTAAAATGCTGAAAGTGAGTTGTCTTTATTTTCCCTTCGTCTTCTGGTCACCTTTAAAATGCACAGGGTGTTCTTTGGCAGTTGCTCAGGTCAGGACTAAAGTCAGACATTGTAACGATGCGGTCACATTCATTCTACACACAGTTAAATTATCCAGACATACACAGTCATATTTCAGGTAAATGTTCATATTATTCTTTCATAAATAAATTAAAGAATTTGTATTCAAGAAGTTTGCATCATATTTAGAAAGTGTTCATTTTAAATATTGGTGTTTGAAGACTTTAATTTGGATTCTAAATCAGATTCTTCCATTTATTTTGGTGTGTGAATTGTCAAGAATTAAATGTTTATTTAACACATGCTGTTTAGCTATATTTTTTTTCATGGTATGTAGTTTGACACAGAGATCCTTAGTAAACATGGGAGATAAAGCTGGAACTTGAGCTATGTGGGACACTACTTGATGGTGTTTTTTAATTACAGAAGCATTAATAAGTCATCCTACTTTTAAGAACTGATCTAAATACCATGATACTATCCAGGACATCTTTTTAAATTGTTAAGAAGAGGAATTTACTCAAAGCCTACGCGTTGTTGTTGTTGTTGTTGTTGTTGTTGTTGTTGTTGTATGACTGCAAATCAGGTTCCTTGCAATACTTTTTTCCATTCTCTGGCTTGGAACAGATGCCTATTTTTTTTTTTTTTCCTTTTTTCTTTCAGATCAACCAATCACAGCTTTAGAAATAAGAAATTTTAAATATCCTGGAATATCCATGCATTTACTGCTCTTCAGAACACAGTTGTAAAAATAGTGACACATGTGTGTTTTTCCCTAAGCAAACACTAACTCCACAAAGTATTAAAGCTCCCACAGAGACACGTCTATTTTAAGACCTTTCAGTTTATATAGGGTAGATAGTATAATATTACAAATTTCTTAATTTCATTTGCTTTTAACAACTGTTTCACTACTTGTTAGAAGAACTCTTGGCATTAAATCCAGGGTGACTGGCTTGCAAGCCATCTTCTGTAAATGCCAACTGCTCTGATAAAGTTTTTTAAGTTCCCCGTGTTCTGGACTGCGCTTGCTCATTTATTAGCTCTGCAAACTCTCCCATAGTGTCAGGGCCTGCTTTAACAGCTGAGGGCTGCCCCAAGGGTTGCACTTCATTAGTTAGTAGTCTCATGAAATGGGTTGCAATGTAATGCAACTGTTGCTTGTGCCAATATGATAGCAACTCTACAAAATCACTGTAACGGTACATTTTGGTTAAAATTTTAGTTTGCTACTTTAGAGGTCGCAGCATTGCCTTCCATGACTTTCCTCTCTTGATCCAACAAAAGTCTAGGCTGGTGGCATTTAGGAATCATTGCAGAATTATTTTGTTTAGCTGGGTATTTGCAGGAGCAGCTGCGAATAGAGTGCAGAATGCTTGTGGACTTGGAAGGAATTTTTTTCGTCTGGTCAAAATATATCGATAGATCACCAAGAGTTTAACGTTCCTGCAGAGTTGAACAGTTGGTGAGAATTAGAATTTAGCTCTTCCACAAATCCAGCCTTTATGCATAAGTTTTCAAGAGCACTCTGAAAGTGAAATGGACAATTTATTTTGAAGTTTTTCAACGAAAATATCTAAGTCTGCTTTCTGTTTTAAGCAGTATATTTTTATGGGTGGCTGAGACAGATCTCTGATCTCTGCTTAACATTTTTTGTTAGCAAATATTTTTATACTTGTGGATACAGTGAGTGTCCTTATATATATATTTTATACTTCTTGATTATCACAAGTTAATTGAATAAATTCTTGATAGACGACCACCCAAGTTAGCACGGTTTCGTTGGATATGAATATTGCACTGGTTATTTAATCACTGCTCTCTGAGAGACAAAAAATGTGTATGCTGTCACACAGGATTTTTTGAGTTGCATGTAGAGCTATAAATAAGTTCTCAAGGTACACACGGGCTCATAAATGAAGACAGGCTGGAAAACAGATTGCTGAAACATGAGTGCTGAAACAGGTAACAAAAAGAAACACTGAAAACACATAGATAGGGATTTGATGTCTACGTTTTTGTGCTTCAAAGCCTGCATCCTAAGTGGGGGAAATGTACTGGTTTCCAAAGATGTTAAGTCAGTATTGCCATGTCCTGGTCTGCTCAGGAAGTATTGGTTCAGATCCAGTCAGGAACAACAGCAGGGTGCAAGGAACATATTTTGTTACTAATTCTTTATTTTTTTCCCTGTGCAGAAATATTGTTCTTCCATTTTATGGAAAATGCCATGTTGATGGTACAAAAATTAATCTGTTTTGAAAAGAGGAAGAAATTGTACAAAGGAGTCTGATAACAGCATCTGATCCAAATATATCATAATAAGCCGAGCAGATTCTGTGCTTGTTCACATTCGGCCTGTGGCTTTTTGTACTTTGCCACAAGAGAAGTAACGTAACATATTCTTGAAGAACTTGTATAGGAAATGTGAATATTCTGCTTCTCCAAATGCTTCTGAAGATCAGGCTGAACGTGTGTATTACAACTTAAACACAGATAGATGTTGTTACAGGAGCAATATTAAAATTTGGAGGAAGATTATTTTCCTTTCAGCAGATTATCTAATCGTCACCTACTGCAGAGTTTTTGCATCTTCCCTGGAAAGCAACACATATTTGATTACCAGGAGCAATAGGATTCTTCATTAAATCGTTCTAAGGTCTGTTCTTGGAGAGCAACTTGTTTGTCATCTTAGAATAATGCTCTGACTTGTCACTTCTGTCTAGGAATTATGTGCTAGGCATAAATATGCATTTTTTTTGTGTGATGCATCCAAGTAGGTGATAAAAATGTGTTGAAATGTATTATTTAATATTGAGTGTGGTTATTTAGAGACATATTAAATAATTCTGCTTAACATCTAATTAGTTTGTATTCGACAGAAGATAGTTCAGTAAGCTCAAGGATGAAATTTGGGGTCGGGGGTATGAGCATGGACAGTGTGTGGTACCTTTTCTACATTCCATTTTGATAAACAATTGCAGTCTTCATAAGAGAATATATTATATATGAATCCATCTGAGTCATCAGTGCTTAATTATTTTAACAAGTCATTTCCTTTTCAATCATCAACAGGGTAAATACAAGAAGGAAAAATACAAATAGTGCGTTACAGTATTTGTCACACATTTGGTATGTTCCTTTAAATGAAATTTCACTATTGTATGCAGGGTAGAAATATTTATTTGATGATTTGTTAATAAAACTTTCCTTTTTCCCAGCTGGATTCTGTTCTGCAGTAATATTAACAGCTGCAAGATGTTTCAGTGCAGAGTGTATTGAAGAATAAAAACAGAGACAGTATTGGGAAAGTTTCAGAATAAAGGTTCATGATGGAGTAATAGCAACTTACTGCATTGTCAAGTTGATATTATCTCTTCTTTTTCTCCTAAAATGAGTCTGTCTTTGATCTCACAACTTGTGTTTTGTTTCTGCATTCACACATTTCAATCTTAAGCTATTAATGTGAGTGTATAGTGTTCAAGCTGCTTGTATTAACTATGACTTATGAATATATTTAGGAAGACTTTTAAAATTATACATGGTAACGTAATAGACAAAAGAATGGAAGTTAGTCATGAAGGTCAGACAAGCATTTTAAAACCAAAATTGCAGTTGTTGTGTCTTAGCATGTTGTAAGGGAAAATAATATCTTTTACGTGGTGGCCGTGGAATTTGCTTTCTTTTTTAGCAGGTTTGTTACAAAAGGGAAAGAGAATAGCAGTATGCAAAAACTGCTTACTGACACTGAAGAACTTTTGTTTCCTTTCAGATGCAGTTTCCACCTCTGCTTACTCATCACCAGCCAAAAGCTTGGGAGACCCTGGAATAACTCCACTGTCTCCATCGCATATTGTGGTAAGAAATGTGCTCTTAACATAGACTGTGTATTGACACTGCTTTCTCCTGCTTGTGTAGTGGGACATAATTTCTTTAGAAAGTTGTCATTTCCTCATGTAGTGATCCCTTCTATGTTATCCATAGTCTTCAGTGAAATGTTGGTTGCACTGGGGTTGGTGATAGAGCTCTCATTCATTTCATCCTCAGAGATCTGTCCCTGTCTTTATCGTTGATTTGTTTAGGCAGCCCCTGAAAAGTCTCATTCTGTTCAGGGAAGAAAAAAAAAAAAAGAGACTTGACAGTAAAATCCAAATTCCCAGAGAAAAGAATCTCCTCCGACACAGAAAGAGAACCTCAAAATAGAACTGTTTTCATTTCTTAAGGAAAACAGCCACTTCTGTAAGCATTTAGAAGCAAGCAAATGTCCCATAAAGGTATTGTGTTTTAATCTCATACATCATGCTCATTTTGTTGATAAACTCCCATTAAAACTAAGTCCCATCTGTTTTTAAGATCATCTGTAAGACAGTATATGCACAGTGTATTTCTTGATTTTTGCAAGGGATCATGTTCAGAACACATTGCTGCCCTTGTCAGATTTCTTCCTTACCTTTCTTAATCGTTCAGAGTTGTGCAACATCCCTTTTCAGGATTTCCAGTGTTCTCTCATAAATTTTTGCTTTTATTCCATTCTTTCTCCATATACTCTAGAACTTCCCACTTTTACTTCTGTCATACTGATTAATTTATATCCTCTTTCAGTTAGATTTGCTCCTTAAACTCTACGAGGAAGACATATAAATAATATATTGCCCTAGTTGAAAAGATTGATTAGGAGAATCCAAACAAGTCTTTCGTTATTTGAGACAAAATTACTCTTGTTTCTCCATTTTTAAGTAGCAGGCCTGTGGGATGATCTTGGAAGCTGTAGGGGTACAATAGAAAGGTGCTGGAAGTAGCAGGCGTGGAGATAACAGGGATAGTGTGAGGAAGATGGTGTAACACTGCTCATTTGGCATTTCCTCTGTGAAAGATGGTAACAATTGCTTCAAAATGTTATTGAGAGGCTGAGCAGCAGTGGTGGAGGATTCAGACATACCCAGTACAGTCATAGGTCAACAGGTCTGTTCCATGTCGATTTTGGCAAAAGGATGGTGTATACACCAAAAGACAGGTGTGTTACCCTCCTTTGCTCTCTACCTGCCTGTAGCACGTAGCCCTTTCGCCAGTGTTTTCAGCTTGTTCTCTTCCTGTGTTGCCAAGCTGTCAGTATTTTAACCACCGTCAGCATGCCAAGAGCAGTTCCTTGCTGTTCATTACTTATTCCTCCGTTATGTAGGATTTGTGTTAGGCAAAGCATACTGGGGAGTGGTACAATTCCTTGTTTATTCATCTCATGCTTTATATCATGTTGTTATGATTTGGGCCAGAATGCTTCCCCCCTCTTCCAGTTAATGTTCCCACATTGCCCTTAGCTGTGCTTTTTAGGGACTGCAGGATTACAGGTAAAAGGCAGGGAGAAGTATTCAAATTTACTATAAGGAGCTGAACAGCTCTCCACATTCTAGCACAGACAGGAGGAAAGAGTGCATATAGTGCTTACAAAATAAGTGTTATTTAAGTTCCTCATAAATAAATAATTAGAATGGGATATAAAGCTTATTTCTGTGTTTCGGGCTGTTCTGTCTCTACTAGTTTTGAATGATAGTAGTACCTCATGTTCAAGGTTATGGCACAGTTAACTCCTAAAACCATGAAATAAGTCCCAAATACACCACACTGATGGATATAAACGTATTCTTCAGATGATCAATTTAAGGAAAAAAAGATACCCAACCAAACAACACACAGTCCCAACCTAGTGTTTTGCTCTAAGTTTTAATGATATAGGATAATAGCTATTAAAAAAAATCGTATGAAGAAAACTTTTGATTCAGAAGGTTATCTGTAAAAGGCTTCAGCAAATATGTCGAGTTGTATTTTGAATTTCCACTTCATTGGAATGTATTGCTTTCTAGTATCAACTTTTGTCACAAATGCAGCTTTGGGGAAATCCTTATTTCCACCGAAGAGCTATGTGTGTCTCAGAGAGCAGAAATACTGAAGGGTAAGACAGGTTGGAGTTATTCTTGTCAGTGACTCAGTGTCTGTTTTGCTTCTGCTATTTAACAGAAGGACTCTGATGCAGATGATGCTGTAGAACAGTTATTTCTTGTTGTTGTGGCTATTGATTTTGGCACAACATCCAGTGGCTACGCCTACAGCTTCACCAAGGAACCAGAATGTATTCATGTCATGAGGTAAGGGCTGCAATGCAGCATTTAGTTTTTGATCATGGTAACATGGATTGTCTGCAGTGGCTATAGATATTTTCTGCAGGAGCCTGAAGGGTCTAGATTTGTCTCGTATTGCCACAGTGTACATTCTTCTCGTGGTTGTAGATTTTTGTTGAATCTTACTGTAATTTGATTTGCTTTAATAATCAATGTGAACATGCTAAGTTTATAAGATGACATAAGTAAAAGGAGGGATCGGTGAGTATTTAGAGTTGTTCAGGGAGCAGTGGTAATTACTAGGTTAGGATGCCCTTATTTCGGGGATTGACAGGAACTACACATTTGTTAAGGGTCATGGAATTTCCCAGGAGCTGCCTGTCCCCTGGAATCATGCTTTTATACAGCTGTGTGTACAATGCTTAGTTACTTGGACCCAAAAACTGGTAATTCATTTGGCTGATTTAATCTTTTTAGCATTAAATTTGACTCATGTCTCTGATAATTAATCAGTGATACTGGGAAATTCGCAGTCAAAAGGCATGAATGTGAAAATTAAGGTTTGATGTGAAATCTGTTCTTTATTGTATGTATGTGAGAAACTGTTATGTAGGGTTTTTTATTTTTCTTATTTCTTGATTTAAATCAACACAATATAAATCTAATGCCATCACAAATGCAAAAACTATTATGTCAGGTATCTGAAAGTGTTTCCCTACAAACCATTTTTATAGTGTTTTATAGTATTTTTAAAAAGTTTTTTTTTATAACTAAAACTCTATACTATTCTTATTAAATTATCTTTAAAATTACTGTATTGTAACAAGGCCAAGATATAGATAATTTCAGGCATAAAAAAAGGTATGCATGAAAAGCTCAGTCGCAGAAGTTCTTCTGAACAAAGCTGCCGTTAAAGCAGTTAGGTAGTTTGCAGCACTAATACTGAGAACAAAAGAGCAAAAAGACTAACTTGCTGTAGTCCAGTGTGATACACTGCAGTTTTTCTAAGCAAGGATGCTAGCTGAATGCAGCTCTCTAAATCTCAGCAGACAGTATTGATTGTGCACTCAGCCTGCATAGGTGGTTTATATACGGTTGCAAAGTATTTCAGAGATCTAGTTCAACTGAATGAGTTGAAATAATGTCTAAAGGGAGCTAAGTTTTGGAATGGTATTACGCCATCCAGTTGCAAAGATACCTACCATTTTCAGTGTGGACAAGTAATGCTTCAAGGCCTTTTGTTCATCTCATCCATCTATTGTTCTCGGAACAGCACAGGAAGCTGTGTGAGGCTGCAAGTCAAAGGACAGGCATGAGTTGCTGTCTCAGACAGGTTACAGGGTTGTCAAGTCAGAACCCATGTTTATCAATTCCTGTTCTCTTTGACAGCAAGTAATGAAATTAATGAGGGAAGATATGTCTGAAGCTGTGCCTGAGCAAGCCTAAATCCTATATACTGTGTTAATCCTACAATCTCTGTGGAGATTTTACTATGTGAAATCAATGCTTTCACTAGGGATGTCCTTTAAGTGATTTGAACTCGAAATTTTACCTTAGGACCTGGTTTTGCCATTAGGTTCACACTATACTGCAGCAAATTGCAGACTAGATTCTCCTTCCAGGGTACCAGGATTCCTACTGTAGGATGTTGTAGCATAGGTGCTGTGTGGCCAGCTGAGTATATTCCAAATCTCAATTGACATTTTACTACTTATGTTTTAAAACACCATATTTCCTTCTTTATGCAATAATGGTAGCATGATTGTAATTTCAGAACTATGTAGATATTTTACGAGATACTGATGTAAAAAGAAATGCAGTAAATCAATGTATTTCCAAGCAGAAGGGAAGAACATATTTGGGGGGGGGAAGTGTGTTCAGATTTCCAACAGGTGTTTCAAACAACGCCAAATATTTCAATAGAAGAATTATCTTTTTTATAAATCACATATTTCTGGCAGGGAAGGATTTTGGGGAAGATATAGTTGAAACTGACTTATGACTTGATGTATATTAGTATTTTTATATATATATCAATACTCATTAAATTCAATTAAAATAATGCTATATGTATCAAAATAAGGCTTCAGAAGGTATTAAGGGGTTCAAACTTTGTATGTAATGAGGCTTACATGTAAGATAATTTACAAATATTTTAGCAGAGTAAATGTAACTTCCCGCTCTCACTCGAGAATGTTTACATTAAAATAAAGCACACCAGTGATGCATGGTCCTCTTTGCTTCCTAACATTTTTTCCACCTTCCCTCCTTAGTGTTGATCCTTTCCAGACATTTAGATTTCTGACTGCCTTTTAACAAAGCTGCTTTTCTGTAAATGTCTCAGTGAAGGGTAAGATGGGTTTATTTAGCAGGTCCTGCTCTGGAGGAGAGTGAACACACAGGGCTTTAGTACCAAGTTGGGAGTGTAGTGTCGGCAAAGTTGTGATTCTAGTTGTCTATTTAGTAGACAGTCATGTTTTTGACTCTGTGTGTTTGTTTATTGTGATGCCCAGTACTAAAAAAAAAAAAAAGAAAAAGAATTTATAAGCACTGACCTAACAAGTTCTTTAAGCAAATACCCAGCTTTAAATTTATGAGTAGCATCACTCATGTGAGTAGACTAAAGCATGTGTTTGGAGTTGAGCGTGTGTTTCTAGATGGTAGATGAATGACTCCACTTTGATTGCATAGCATTAGTTACTGTTTTACCCATTTTAGGTAATACTTCACACCTGTCAACTCTTGCTAGTTCCTCACGGCTTCTTAGTGGTGGTTACCTTCAGGTTCTCGTTGCAGAGTAGAAGTACAAGTTACGATGAGTGCTATTTTCTGCGTACTTTGAGACTGTGAGTAAATGCATATGAACAGCCTGGCTGTGAGTTCAGCAAGCACTTCAGCAGGCAGGGCTGTGCCAGAGCCGTAATGAAAGACAGTTTGGTGCTGTAGAATGAGGTAATAACATCACCTTTAAAAGGAATACATGAGATCTTAAACAGTTTTGAAAAACTCCTGGTGGTTTATATGCATTTACGTGAAGTAATAAATGTTTTAGCTGCTGGTTAAATGGCAACAAACTGAATGTATTTCGCAAATGGAGAAAAATAAATGGAAAAATGCCTGTGATTATGAAACAAACTGCAGCCTGGCATCGGAAGGAGCGAGAATGTTTTTCTTCAGTGTAACTTCAACCTTCAGGTTTTTTCTTTCCCTTCTCTTCTCTGTTTGATTGTAATTCTTGGCAGACACGTGCTTGCCTTTCTTCTGCATGCACGCTCTCAGTGGCGTTTGGCTACGTTTTGATGACCCCACTTGCTTCATGTCCTTCGCTGTTATACTGCAGCTCTGGATCAAATTCTCATCACTCTGCACAGATCACTCTCTTTGCTCAGTTAGCCAGATTCATGTGTAAGGAAGGGCATTTCTCTAACCTTAATGTAACCTTGTGATCCTTTCCACACTAACTTTGCTCTTGTCTCTATTTTCACTTTTAATATGCAGTCAGATCTGGGGCTCTAAATGGGTCTGTGCTGCTCTGTTGAGCTGCTCCACTTTATCTGAGCCTAGGAACTGGTCTCATATGTCTGAATTTAGGCAGAAATCTACCTTGGGTTCTGCTTGAACAGATTTTTGGCTCTGACCCTGCTTTGAGAAAATACCCCACACATGCATTTAGAGTACTGCTGGCTTGTATTAGTCCACGCGCTTAACAGAGATTTCAAATTTTTTTTTTTTTTCTAAAGAGCATTATTGCCATTATTTTTCCTGTATTGGGACAGTGAAAGAAAACTGCAAACAAAGATGTTGAAATCCTAGCTCTGACTAGAAGCCTTCACTAACTGGAGTGAGGCTAGGGCTCCACCTGAGAAGAGTGTCGCAGTCAGGAGTTACCATGAACATGCCCTTGCAGCTGTTTCTCTCTAGAAAAGATGTTACACAGGAATATTTTTAAATCTCTGCTTGCAAACGGAAAAGTCGGACTTCCCCTTCTGTTTCCCTATTGCTCTTTCTGTGACTGAACGGTAGGACAGGCTGCGAACTTTAGAACGTGCTGAGCAATTACCGTGTGTAGTTTCCGACAGAAACTCATCAGGAAGTGAGCATTCAATTCTCTAGGTGGCTTTGAAAATTTCAGCCCATACCACTGAGCATCAATTTGTCTTAGTTTAAACTGCACATTAAGTGTACTTATTCCGGAAAGAGAAAATGTGCCTAGCCGTCATGAAAAATAAAGCAGTATTGTTATTAGCCGTGTCCTATTTATGGAATTTCCCACCAGTGACTCAGAATGAATCATTAATGATTCCAAGAGAAAATGATACCAGTCTGTCTCCTCTCTGCTTGCAGCGGGTGTGTGGGATTTAACAATCTGGTGAAATAGGCAGTGTTTTCTGTTCCTGGGCTGTGAGTTCCCAACTTCTTCACATTGGAACCATATGCTTGCTGTAACACCTACTCAAAGATTTTTGGAGTTGACCAAGTACGCTTCTAGCAGCATGGAAGAAATGACCTGCAGCAGAGCCTTAGCCAGCTGATAATAGTTCAGGGGCTGAGCAGTGGGACTATGGAAGTGTAGGAGAGTTTTTCTGAGGGGATGAAGGTGGAATCCACTTCTCATCATGCTGTTTCTGCTTTCAGAGTGTGGAATTGCCCTCTACACTGAAGTAAATTCATAGACATGATTCCCTGCCATTGCTGGTGCTAAAAAGGACAGATTTTGCTCTGTTTGATCTAGCTGAATGAAGGGTTCAAAGCACTTCAGAAGATCCTCTTCCTTGTTACTTTGCCAAGTATTAACCCCAAAGATTGCAGTTTCCCATGTCAGTTGTCTGCCTTGGTCTGAATGTCAATTAATTTTCAATTGATTCAACTGTTTCTGAGAGTGAAGTGGAAAAAAAGATTTTTTTTTTTTTACCTACATAATCTTCCTATTTCACATAAGTACCACAGAGCAAGGCAACCTTTTGGTGCTTCAGAACAAGGACTTTGGCAGTACTATATTATGAAAGTGCATTTTGCTATCTTTAGAAAAAAGCAATCAACATGTGGTTTAATAATGAATGCAGTTGCCTGTATGATATTAATTTGGCTCCTGTTTGAGCTGTGTTATGATTATGTCTGAGAGCATAAAACATATTTTCCACTGATGCCTTTTTAAGAAAATGCTTCCTGGTAAGTGTTTGTTTCCCATGCTGAAAGTACTTGCACATGGGGTGAGGAGGAACAGTAGTGCAGGTTTCTTGTTCTTCCATTCTGCTTTTTTTATGATGGAGAAATAAGAAGACAAGAAGAATGCTCACAGCTGTCTCGGTGGTACAACTTCCCACTGTCTGACCTTGTCCTGCCATGCCCTCCCCCAATTCCTCTTGCTGGATGTTCCCATATTTGATATTCATTTCCGTATCCACTCTGCGAAGCAAGCTTTGGGTTGCTTAAACCTTAATACTTTTGCTCTTCTTAGCTCCTGACGATACTTCGTTAATATTGATAAGGCAGGATAGCATTATTTACCATTTAGTGGATGGTAGTGAGGGAAATGCTTTGGTGCCTGTAAGATACTTGTCGTTTGGATTGAGTAAAATTTTTACAGCATTTTGGGCATGTAAACCACAAAATCCATTAACTTCAGGTGAGTAGAGAGTGCAGTGCAGAGAGCTCAGCATCTGCACACATGCCTTCAGAGTTTCAGGTGTCCAGGAAATTAGACACACGATCAGATGTTGGTTGAACTGGCATGTCTTGCTTCAGAGAACATTTTGTGACAGAAACAGGGGTTTAATTGACTTTTCTGCAGTGGTGTTCAGATGACTTAAACAGGTCCCTAATTCAAAATGGGGAAAATATCCCATACAAGTAAGCATTCATGCAGTCTGACAATTGGATAGGCCACTCATTTTGACAATTTGGGTTTTTATCAGTAGTGTTCTTGGATAATTACTTGATTTTTTTTAATTTTTTTTTTTTCCCCCCCTCTGTACAGTATTTATTACAAACTTACGCTTTGTTTGAGAACTTAAGTACAGAACAGTTTCCTTGTTAGTTGTGTATGGTTTACTGCAGGGAACCTGTGTTCTAAAACCAGAGTATGATTATGTCCTTAAAAATTATACAACGAACTGCAAAATTTATTGAAGTATCTAAAATGAAAGTTACAGTCCTCTTTTTCTTGGATTTGAATAGAAGCACTTGATTTTGGAATTTTAAGGATTGAAATCAGTATCTTCGGAGGGGAAAACAGTCTGCGCACTCTGCCACCACGTTGTTTTTCTCATGGTATACTATTTTTTTCTGCTGCTTTAAACATTAGTATCACTTACTGAAGCTGTTTCACTTGTTGGATAGACGATGGGAAGGTGGAGATCCAGGCGTATCCAATCAGAAGACACCAACCACAATCCTTCTGACACCAGAGAGGAAGTTTCATAGCTTTGGGTATGCAGCAAGAGATTTCTACCATGACTTGGATCCCACTGAATCAAAGCACTGGTTGTATTTTGAAAAGTTTAAGATGAAGCTACATACCACAGGTGTAAGTAATAACCAATTCTCTTGGATAATTTTGTATTTGCTTCTCAAATTGTCTTCCTGTGCACAGTGCTAGATTTTTGCCTAAAGACTGTCAACTAGATGTGAAGCTGCTCTAAGTTTAGAGAGTAAATAAATAAAACTCCTCAGTTAACATTATGATTCATTTCACTTCACACTGCATTTGGCAAGTGTATTTTGCCAGTCTGCTTTCTAGATCTTAGAAGTTCAATATCTGCTTTGCTTAGATCTCCATGTCCTAATTTTCCTGAAATGTATAGCTGTCTAGGGAGTCTGCATGAGGTCGGTTTGTTCTATAAATTTACTCAGAAAGCAGAAATGGAATATAAGAGCCATACTGAACTCTAGCGCAGTGGAGAAAATTTACCCGGAGTTCTTGTCAAAACTGCAAGTGCAAACCATGTTGTTAATCTGACATTATTCTTACTGATTGTATTTTTGACTTTGGGATTTGGCCAGGTAATTTCTTTATTGAGGTGTTTTCTGGTATCATGTGTTGGTGGGAAGCCAAAAATCTACACTTTTAACTCAACTTGGATTTAAATATCTTGCATATGCAGCTTTGTTACAATTAATTACGGATACATTTATTGTAATTATTCAGTATTTAGTCCGTATTTCTCTCTCTGCCTGCAGTTATCTGTAGGCATGGTAGGTGTCTAAAAACAAAGTCTAAAATAAGTAGCAAATGTCATGCTTCAGGAAACTCAAGTGATGAGTTAGATCCTCTTTGGAAAACTTTTGTCACTTTTTCCTAACCAGGTGAATAATGATGAATTCCCTTTTCTCAAGCAGTGGGAATTAACTTCACATTTACTTTTTCCTTTTAAGAACTTCCAGTTATTTTCTTTCATATAGAATCTTACCATGGAGACAGACCTGACAGCTGCAAATGGCAAAAAAGTCAAAGCACTTGAGATATTTGCTTATGCTCTGCAGTTCTTTAAGGAACAGGCATTAAAGGTAGGGTAATGCTTCCTTATCTAGATTTTTCCATATTTATAGCTGGTATAAATGTGAGTTTAACTCTTCTAACCTTGCCAAGCTTTGACCTCGGTAGTATTTGATGTAAACAAAGCAAGACAGCTGTAGAAACTCTAGGGGGGCTGTGGAGAGCTCACAATAGCCTGAAGTGATTTCCCCTCGCTCAGGGGAAGCTTGATTCACTAACAGTAAGTGTATCGCCGTGATGCAGAGTTCTGAATATCTTCTTACCAGCTTAAATATTTTCTGCTGTTTGTTTTTAATGAAAAAAGCTGATTTGAAAGAAAATTTAAAAGTGCAGAAGCTGAAGCTCGGGAATTAAATATGGGGCTGGGTCCTGTCGTTATTCCCTACACTGCTGCTGGGATGATGGATTGTTCTCTCTTCACGCAAGGTTCTCTCTCATGTTAAAGAGTTGGCACTGTGAAATGCAGCAGGATGGGCACCTACTGATGTCTCCTGCCCCAACCTGACTTTGCCTTCACTGATTAAATAAGGGAAGTTGGATGAGATGGTTTTGTTCTGTAACAGAAAGATTATTAAAGGCTCATTTATAATTTGGTGACTTGAACCTCACTGTAAGTGTGTGCAGGGATGACCTGCTGAGATGTACAAGCTGGCTAACCTGATGGAAATAGTGTAATTATGCCAGTGCAATGATCTGTATAAGCCACTTGATTCCACTGAGAGGTTCAGTATACTAGCCTACATGGAATCGTGCACCAGTGCAGATATACAGCCTCCATCACCCAAACCAGCACTGGTACCTTTGCACAACGCTCCTTTAGTCTGTTAAGGATAAGGAAGTTAAACTGTAGTGTGTGTGCCAAAGAGCTGCAGTTAGGCTATGGTATTTTGGCCCTGTGCTGACCCTTTGTAGGGGTGAATTTCATGTTGTGCTATGAGATAGAATCATGGAATTGTTTAGGTTGGAAAAGGCCTTTAAGATCATCAAGTCCAACCCATAACCTCATACTGCCAAGTCCACCACTAAACCATATCCCTAAATGCCACATTTACAGGTCTTTAAAATACCTCCAGGGATGGTGACTCAACCGCTTCCCTGGGAAGCCTGTTCCAATGCTTGACAACTCTTTCAGTTAAGAAATTTTTTCATAATTTCCAATCTAAACCTCCCCTGGTGCAACTTGAGGCCGTCGCCTTGTATTCTATCGTTTGTTACTTGGGAGAAGAGGCTGACACCCACCCCACAACAACCTCCTTTCAGAAAATCAAACTTTAAGGAGAACCAAAAAGACAGACATCTCTTAGGGGCTTAACTTGTAAATTCACACTGTGTTCTGATGGACTGCCTCCATTTATGTTGCTAGCTTTTTTTTCTTTTTTTTTTTTTCCCTACTGTGGCTAGTGTTGGTAGGGAAAATGCATTTTATTTTCCATTTCCCATTTGAAATGTTGCAATACTCATTTCTTGTAATATTCTTCTTTGGTCAGATGCTGTTTTTCGTATTCTCCTGTGAAATACATGTCCTCTGTAAACAGTTTTTGAGACTTTTTAAATCTCATGTAAACAGTGAAATGTGAGTTAAGTACACACACTGGCTTCAAATATGCCACTATAACGTCACTGTAAGCGTAGTAGTTGCTGGGTCAAATCAGAATATTCCTTAAACAAAGGCATTGTTTAAAATAGCCTCGCTGTTAAAAAACTACTTTTTTGAATGTGTTTAATTTATTCTCTGTGAGATCCCAGTCTATTTATGGCTACAGAGAAACAATCCTACCATTACAACTCAAATCCCACATCTTGTCAAAGACTTATTTAACTAGATTTTGGGGTTGATTGTGGAGTCACAGATTTGAACCCATGCATAGTCTGGGGAAATTCTTAGTGAATATGAATGCTGTTGGGCACAATCCCATATATTTGCCGTGCTGCCTGTTCAGGGCTACATCCTGTCTTGATAATAAATAAATCCCTGTGATTTGTGAGTGCATGCTGAAACTAATTAGAGAAGCGATGTAAATGAACTGTTACTGTGGACTATAATCTGTCCGTTCCTAGTGCCCTGTGTAGTATAAAGGTACTACTTTTCTAGCATGGATTTTTGAGCTGCAGCGTAGCTAAACAAACACAACACCTTGGCACAGCACATGCAGAAACATTTTTTTACAGTCTAAAGGCCTGTTGTTCACCTTTCTGAACCTTTCCCTGTTTGGATGGAGATTTAGATAGGACATATGGTAATGACATTTTACTTGGAACCTTTCCCAAAACATGTCAGTATATCACCTAATTTGCAAATGCAATACAGACTTTCCTCTTTTTAAGGAGGAAAAAAAAAAAAAAAAGGACAATAAAATAACTAAACTAGTCTTGAATGTTTGCTTAAAGCAAAATTTTCAAGCAGCAATCCATCTTTTTTTTTTAAGGGTTTAACTGTAACTTCCCTTGTTAACTGAGTTGTAAAAATTTGATTTAAAGGTAAGTGGCGTATAAAGAATTCATTGAAAAATTCAGATTGTGAAACATAATGTTTATCAGCGATACCTCAAATATTTTTCTGTGTATTAATCAAGATGCAAGTGTGAATTCCTCAAGCTAAGAGCAAATTCCACACTGTGACTAAGAATGTACGTAAACGTTCTGCAATATTCAGCAGTGCGTGAGCTGCGTTTGGAAAAACTAACTTTTCTACTTCGTGTTAAACAGTAAACTTTTCTATAGGCCTCCTTGAGAAGGCATCAACCTTAATCCCAGCTTTTGGCACAGTAAAGAGTTCTTGACAGGTTGGCAATAATTCTGATTTGTAGCATAGATGTAAGAGGAAAAAAAATTAAAAGAGAAAGTTACTCTTGCTAGAGCCAGCAGAAAATAACGTTTTCTTATAAAGTTGACACTCATCATTTTGCACTGATCTCTATTTTCCTTTTATTTAGGAGCTCAGTGACCAAGGAGGCTCGGACTTTGAAAACACTGAAGTAAGATGGGTAATTACAGTGCCTGCTATTTGGAAGCAGCCTGCAAAGCAGTTTATGAGACAAGCTGCCTACAAGGTAAGATTACAGTCTGAACGTAGAAATGCCCCTTTAAATCCCTAGCTGATAGGCTAAATGATAACTGAATTTGGGACAATTAGCTCTAGTATAAACTGTATAAAAATGGTCTAGAAAAGTCAGACTAGAAACGCTGAAAGAGGAGTTAACTCTACCAAGCAGTAGCTTTAAGTCATACATATTAAATACCTTTTTCTTTCTATTTACTTTTGTATATCAATGTCTCTTACTGCAGACTGATGTTTTACTCATCTTGTGCGCTGTATTCCTGCTGAATTCAGTGCACATGGAACAGATGCAGTTTTGAGACCCAAGGGAAAGCTGATTTTAAAATACTGGACACAGTTTTGTTTTGCTATTTTCTTTAGGTCATCAGAGTTATAAAGTAAAACAAAAAAAGGAGGGAGAAAACCTTTTTTTTTTCCAGTTCCCATGTTCCCACAGTAGGAATGAAAGGACTGTGAACCGGGTAGTCTGGATATAAAATTAAATTCAATGTTATTTTCACCAGTAAGAGGTTTATTTGCAGTTAACTCTTTCCCCCCCAACCCCCCCAACTATGTGCACTTCCCATATGCATGTCTTTTATTTCAAATTCAGTTTGCGTCTTCACCACGCGAGATGTACACATTCTTCTTTTCATCAGGATATTCATTTCATGTTCTGGGTTTGGTTTTTTTTTAGTTTATTTTTTTGGTCATAGACTTGCGTAACCCATTGGCAGCAACTATCTGATGCACAGTTTGTAAAATATCTAGTAGTTCATGAGTAACTTGCAGAGTGCTCCTGGGAAGCACCCAGATTTTTCTGACCCTGTTTCTAACTATCTCTAATGTTGAGCAACATTTTTCTTAACAGTCTTTATTGTGGGATTGCTAATGATAGTGCCAGAAGCAAAACACTCTTAAAGTTCTGATGGAAGGACACGGTTGTAGGTAAATCTGAAACACTAGAGACCCATTCGTTATCTTTGTATATTGTTGTCTGCCTGCTGTCTGTGTGCATGTGTGCTCGTGAACTGGGAGCTGTGTAAGAGCAGGGCAGCTAGGGTAGATCTCTTGGCATTTCTCATTTGTGGCACAATGGAATGTTGTTGATTAGTGTCTGTGTCTGTGGTTGTGTCTGTGATTGTGTACTTTTATCGGCAAGCTTGGTAAACAGCAAGGACTGAGAAGGCTTTTAACTCGGGGTGTGTGATCAATTGCAGGAAAGCATGAGTTTAGGGAAGTAATTGATGTCTATTTGACACACGGGTGTGTCAATTTATTTTTTTTTTTAATTTTCTTTTTTTAAAGTAATGGGGATGAAGGAATAAGTGCAGAAAACAGAATTCTGCACTGCCATTTAGTTTTTCAGATTCCTATTGCAGGATCCAACACGTTCCTCAAACCAGTACGTACGGATGGATCAGATGTTGCAGCTCTTGTTGCTAGCTCTTGGACCATGCAAGCATCTTGAAAATGAAAGCTTGCTGTTGTGAGAGTAATGGAGGCATCAAGTAGAGAAAAGTGTGAAAAGGCAGCAGTAGAAACTTTGTTACTGGAAGCACACTGAAGTACAACCACTAGTCTAAGCTGAGAGTTAACTAGTGGGAAATGTTAATGAGCTGTGGAAATCTTCTTGAGTAATCTGTGACAAGTGACATAGCTCTAAGAGACCAAAAATACGAATGGCTTCAGTTATTGGTTCACAATGTAGAAGCCCAGCCAGAAGGAATGGTTAAGTAGTTGTCTAGGCAAAGCTAAACCCTGCATGGAATTAGTAAAGTCAAATAAGAAGGGTTGTAGATCTACTTCTGCACTCGCCATCCATCAGCTTTTGTCCAGCCTACAATCTCAGTGCATCTCTGACATCCTCTCATCTCTGTCTTGCCTTAAACAAAACACTGCTAACCTGGAACTCTTAATCTGCCCAAGGGCTCTCACGTGCCCCCTTCCAGCTGCTGTGCTGCTTTCTCATTTGAATGATTAATCTGGGTGTTCCCTTCAGCTCACTGTGCTTCCTCTCTCTTCCCATCCAGCCTATCAAAATCCTGCTAATTCTGTCTGCATGACAGCCTTTCCTGTCTACATGCTGCTGAGCTTTCATCAAAGCTGTCATGGATTTTGCATCTTGGTTACTGCAAACATCATTTCCTCGGCTTTGGCAACTGTAATCTGGCCTGTTTTGTATCTCTTCAGATTATTGCCACTGAAGGGTTTTGTAGCCTCACACTTGACAAGGAATCAGCCTGCATTTGACTCCTTCATCTGTGTCATCTCCGACATAAGCTGCATGTCCTGGACATGAACATCTGTCATGCTAACTCGTTTTCTTCCTCTGAAACCCTCTCTAAAATGCTGGGTTTTTTCACACCTACAAAAACTTGACTGTGATTAACGTACTGATATGTGAAAACTGCTCCTCATCGCTTCTTGCTGTTACTCTGCCTGCCCCATCTGTATTCATCTATTGTGCTTTTTGTATCCTTAACTCTTTTTATACTTGTTACCTCTTTGAAGAAAATATTTGTTTATTCTCTTTTGTCTTGCTCTCTGGGGCTTCCTGAGGGACTAAGTCTGGTAGGCTGTAGAGAGCTGCATGTCTTAAGAGCTTCACTTTGCTGAATCAATATTGCTTTATTCCTGAATAAAAGTTCACAGACACTTCTTCCTGACCCTCATGCTTAATTCCCATGTGCCCAGAGATAGTTCTAAAGCTGTTGAGGTTTGGTCACACTTGGAGAGAGCTCTGTGGCAAGAGCAGAGTGTCATCTCTGTAGGACCCACTTTGGTTTAAGTTTCCTTTCCTAAAACACATCTACTGGGATTACTGTGCATTGCATCTGTGTTCATTACGTCCTGAATAATGACTCTTTAAGAGTTTGCCATTGTCCCCACTGGTAAAATACAAGGCGTCATAAATAGCATTAACTTTTCTTGTTTCTGTGTCCTAGTTGTTCTGTTTCAAATTCTTTGCTTTGATGTAGTTCTGTCAGAAGTGCTGTATTTACCAGTATTAGAAGGAATCTCATTCTCATGAAGAACTCGCATCGTGAGTAATAAATTCGAGTTGTTGATATATTTTCTTATTTTGGAGACCTTCGCAGCATGGCCCAGTTGGACAATATGTGGGAGGACTTCATCCTGCTCATGTGGGTGGGATCTGCCCCTTATTCTTGTCCTTGCAGAAGCAGCCAAAGGCACCTGCACTGGGCCTGAGGTTTAGACCCAACATGAAAAGATGGCTTAGATGTGGAGGCAGGCCAATTCCTGCTTGTGAACATGGCCTGGCACTTACAGCCACATCAGAACAGTGTGTGAACATGGACACAAAACCAGGATCCCAATTCTGTGTGGTCTGAGGTCCTACTGACACAAGAAAATTCTGTGTTTTCTTAGTCTTGTATTACTGATGACCAAAAAAAAAAAAAAAAAGGGTATTCACTAATGGAAAAATGAAACTCTAAAAGTATTCAAGACTATTTGTGTAGAAATCCATTGAGTCTAAGTAGGCATGAATAGTTGGTTGTCTTAACAGCACTTTGCTGTCTTAATATATTACTATGAGCAGCACTTTTTCAATCTCTTTTCCAAGTCAAATTCAGGCTGTAGATTGTTTATTAGTGGAACACAGGATCCAATATTCTTGGCAGAGTGTTTCTTTTTAGTCAAGACATTATTCCATCTCATCTTTCAATACACATTCTTTGGGCTGTGTAAGAGCAGAATCTGCATGCTCTAATAGGAATAAGGTATAAGGATTAGTTTGGAGTGTGACAGGAGTAGGTGCATGCAGAAGCTACAAAATAAGAAAGTAAACCATGGCATACCAAATGCACTCAGGGCAGAGCAGAGGAAAGTGGAGGATAGTGAATTTTTGTAAGCTTGCCCAAAATATTCTATAGGCTTGCAAACATCAGTCAGCTGGTCTACTTAGAGATATTTAGGGTTCTTTTCTTTTTAATATGAACTGGTGATTTTGAAATGGAGTTCTAGAGCTCTGAAGTAGATTTATTTTTCAATTGCAAATAGCAAATAAAATCATTTGCATGGTAAGCTCATATAAATAAACAGAGAGGCAGTCTAGTGAGCCTGGAGTTCCACAGGCTTTCTTTAACCATCTCTTATGCTGAATATTTATTAATGTTTTCATGTCAGTTTTGTCATGGAATGTGCATGATGAGAATTATTTAATGTATTGTGTTCCAGGGTTACGTTACATTACATCGATCAGTACTAGACTACTCTGTAGAAACCTTTGGAAACAAATTTGGTGAAAGAGTAATGTGACAGCACATAAAATTCTTTGCTAATAAAAACATGATGTGAAAATATTTGATTTTTTTAAAAAGATGACTAGAGAGACTTAACCAGATCGGTATCTGTGACGCTGAGCTACGCTTACTCCTTTGTAAGTATTTCTTTGGTACACAAAACACACACACAACCAACATTTATTTGTCGAGGCATAGTGTAACAGACTTCTACTATTAACTACATAAAAAGGCAATACAGAATCATCTAGGTTAACGTTCAGTGATGTTCAGGCATCTGGTGGTTTTTGAAACAGTTATTGTTAGTGGAGGCAGACAAGGCAGAAGTACATTAATACATCAACGATCCTGATTACTTCTGGGGTTCTCCTGAGTCCATGCTTTCACTTTTGTGATATTAAGATCTTTTTAATCATAAGGATTAAAATGTTTATTAAGGGATATGTCAGGGAAGATTCTGCATCTTGTAGCTATGTGTAATTAGAAAGGATAAGTGAGGAGTGAAGATTACGGAGTGGGAACTCAGCACAGTGGGAAATGTGTACTAATTGATCTTGGTTCACACATGTTAATTACTCAGCCAGGTTCACATGAAAGCAGAGGCAGTTGACAAAGCCATCTGCTAATCCAGTTCTGCACATTTCTGCTTGTTCACTTCTGTAACACAAGTTGGAGTATTTGGAGGTTTTCTTTTTGTTTTGCTAAGCAAGTAAAATAAGAGGTTTTTGTAGCGTTCTACGTAAGA